GGAGACGAGCCGCCCACACACGGTGATTGTAAAGTATCTCAACTATGGGGACAAAAGCATGCTTCTCAAAGCCTACCTCAGCGCATCCTCTCTAATGGTGGAAGGCCACAAACTATTACTCTTCGCAGATTATTCGGCAGAGGTGAGTCGCCGCCGCAAAGCATTCGCAGAGATATGCAAGGCGCTATATCACCGAAACATTCGCTTCTCCTTGGCATATCCGGCCACTCTCCAGGTACAAGCTTCAGAAGGGGAGAAGAAGATATTCAATACTCCCTTGGATGCCCATGCTTATCTGGAGGCGATGTCCCCCCCGGATCGAGATCTGCGGTCTCAAACCAGCGGGAAGAGGATGAGACTGTCGCCACCATCACCACTAAAACCCCATCCAGCGCCTGACCGCGAGAATCGTGAGGATATTCAGGCTTGAACTGGAATGCGGACGCCCGATGGCAAAGAGAAGGGAAGAAGAAAACTGAACAGGGAACAATAAAATGATCGACAACAAGACCAGCAAGTTGTATCCTGGTGGAGCGGATATATCTCCTCATGAGGGATCCGGAAGAATTTAGTGGGGCCCTTTCTAAAGAGGTTTCCCAGAGATGCTCCAGATGATCCAATCAAAATCCAGTCCAAGTTGGTTCTTCCTACGTCTGAACTGGTCACAGAAATTACCTTATTGGTTGTGTTCCATTTTTTTTTCTTCCTTTTCAATTTTTATTTTTTTTATCTCCTACTATTTTAATGATGGAAAAGTGAAACTCGGACACCACAATTCTTCCTTAAGTCCACTTGCTTAGACCCTGTGCTTCATTCCAAAGGTTATCCTATTAGGTCAATATATGCATGCCTCAACCCCACTTTTCTCCCACCAATAGCAAAATCTTCTGTACTAAAATGGCACAAAAATATACAGGAAGATGACCTCTATGATAAACTGATACAGGGGTACCAACTGGTCAGGAGGTGCACAACCAACAAAATATGGAGGGAAACTCAATTCCGCATTATACATAAAGCATACTATGCATTTGACTTCTTTCACAAAATAAAGGCTGACAGTCCTTACTTGACAGCTTGTCCAAAATGCAAAATGGTAGGGGCAGACTTGTACCATTGACTGTGAACTTGCAAGTGGATACACAGGTACTGGGAAAAAGTAATAGCACTACTCATAGGGATAGTAGAGATTGAGTTGCCAGTTCACCAGGGGTTATGCCTATTCAGTTACTGGGAACCTGTAATACCTCTACCCAAACATAGATGGCTATGGTTACAAATGAGTCTCTTGGTGGCTAGAAGGGTACTAATGAAAGCCTGGCTCTCTCCGGAGCCACCCCAATTAAACCATCTCCTAGAGACCCTGAAAACGATTATGTGGCAGGAGAGATTGGAAGCTATACTGGAAGGGGAAGTAGTTACTACCAGATTCTTTGACAGGTGGAGCCTCTTTATACAAACCCAGATACAGGAATCGGTAATCCACAGGATTGTCCTCCCTTTCAGGTACTCAGAATGGTATTTGAAGGGGGACTTACAGGGCTCACTAGGTCATCTGGCACTCCCCAAGGGACCTACAGTCACGCCATTGAATGGGAATGCCCAGGAACAGGAACCCATTAATGATGGATAGAGGGACTTTTCCATATTCATGCCCCACACACTTTGAGGAACCAAAAAAATAATAATAATAATAATACAAAACTAGCGAGTGACACAGGGACAAAATTCGAATTCATGTGGTATGGAACTGTTTGATATCAGGATACATGAGCTATCAAGGACGGAAGGGCTATCGGAGAGGACTATGGTCAGATTGGAGAGGAGGAGTAAAAGAGGCTGGTGAACATATGCTGAAAAAGGTTGTAGAAAAAGTTGTTAAGATATGTATGACGGCAGGTAAATCCGGGGGTACCGGATCTGATTAAAACGGAATAATATCAACTGGGGCAATGGCCTGGAATACATGGTAGACAAAGAGTGTTGAGATCTAGCATCTATTATCCAAAGAAATGTCAGGTGGTTAGACACTTAAGGCTTGAATGTCTCTGGTCAGAGGGAGGTATATATGCTCCTCATTTATTTGATTGTTCCAATATTCTTGGTTTCGTGTATCCTAAACATCACTTAGTACATGGTTCAGAAAATTTAGAAAATGTGTAGTTTCTTATATCTTGTGAAAACTGTTGTGACATTATATTTCTTTGACACAAATAAAAATATTTTGGAAAAAAATAAATAAATACTGGTTTGATAAACTTTTCCGCAAATACTGTGCAACATAAAAAATTGCAACTAGCATTATTTTATTTTACATGGCCTCTGCTTTCAGAAAATACATAATTGTTTAGGCGTTTGAAGCTGTTGTCTAGCCAAAAATTCATATTTTATCTTATGTGTGCAAATAGTAAGAAATTGCTCCGGACAGCAAGTGGTTAAGCAGTTTATAAATGATATAACAATTGGTATTAACGGTACAACCTTTTTCATACATTTACAAAGCTTTCTAGTGGAACATAGTGAATGTAGACCTTACAAGATTCTTTTAAATTACAAGCTGACCTAGCCATACTGAGAGGAACATGGTCTTGCCCCTGTACAAAACATTAGTAAGACCTTATCTCAAATACACAGTTCAATTTTGGGTGACAGTTTAAGAAAATGAGTTTGTGGAACTGGTAAGAATACAGATAAGGTCAACAGAATGAATAAGGAGCATGGAGGATCTGAGGAAAGATTATATAAACCTAATTTAGAAAGAGGTCATTACACATTTGTACCATTATACCCTCTTATGGACCAGAGCTATTTTTACATTTCCACTGTTCATTCAGTGATAGCTTTGATATTAAGAAAACAAAGTAATACATATATTGGAAGCTTTATACCTTATCCCTGTGACAACTTGAAAATTTAGAATTTTCCATTACTTTTGTCCTGGTGATGATGATCCTCTTGGGAAATAGATATATTTATATTTACAAGGGTATATAATAAAGTGTACCTGTCACCACAGCAGGGACACTTTTGTACAGTTTCTAATGCGAGAATACCGTATATACTCGAGTATAAGCCGTCCCGAATATAAGCCGAGGTACCTAATTTGACCAAAAAAAACTGGGAAAAAGTATTGACCCGAATATAAGCCGAGGGTGGGAAATGAGGCAGCTACTGGTAGATAGATACCAATAAAAAACATGGTGGAACTCAATAATATCCCATGAATAATTGGCAAAACCAATTGTAGTAAATAGTTTAACGATTCTTTTCTGGTGGCATTGAAATATTTTATTAACAGGAAAAATGGACAAAATAAGCCTTAAAGTCTACCTTTTCTGCCATGTGTCATGGTAAATCCATATTTAAGGTTTAACATGAAACATGGCAAAATTCCCATCCCCAAAACCCACATCACCACCCCTTTACCTGAATTGTTGGGTACATCTTCCTGGGGAGTCCTGTTATTTTTTAAAATTTAGCACAGATGTGCATGACTCCACCTGCACAGCCATGTCATCCAGCTCTGTTACTGTTTACATTCAGTTACCACAGACGGGACATGTGTAAAGTTGCGCCAGTGTTCCCTCCTCCCTCACCCACTTGTAGTCCAGCCGCACTACCTCCAAGCCAGATACGTTCCAATTTATTTTTTAAAGATGGACTTTTAAAAAGACATCATGATTTCAGTTCTGTTTTTTATAACTTGTCCTTTTCATTGTTCATTACAATTGTTCATTGTAATACATTTTGCCCAAATTAACATTTCCAAGCAGAATGGACTTTTCAATACTGAGACCTTGGCAAATGTAAGAGCAGAGAAATAAAGAGCACAGCAGGCACTAAGCAACAATGCAATCAGCAACAAGGCCAGGCAAGTGTGTCTATAAAGTGCTGTCTAGAATTTGGCCAGCCATGTCTGGCTGGAGACTTTGGCAGAGTTCTCTAATGAAAATGTCTCCCAAGAGCCGGAAACAAAAATAACATACTGAGGATACCACAGTGTGTGCTGCTCAGGCCAGTAAGCAAGCTAATTCCCTTTCATAACCTTAAGATTTTTGTTTTGCTTGTTTGTTTCTTCTCACACATGGATACCCATAAGGAACAGGAAAAACATTACCAGGAGATCATTGTAGTTCCAAACAGTGTTACCATTTTGTAGTCAGTGAAGTCAATGTTCTTCAATTATATACCTTCTCTGTGATTTACATGTATGTTCTTTGATATTCAGAATGTGCATAATGGGCACAGGATATAGGGATGATTTTTTTTATTCATAAGAAAATCCCCATATTTGCAATTTGTTAACTAGAGATTGTTATAATATACAACAAATACTTTATGTATTCAATTCCATTTAGTGGCTAATGAAACATTTTGGAATTTTGGAATTACAAAGGACATTAGGTTTTGCAGTGTTTTGGCCAGCAGGTACTAGATGAATTCCCTTCAAACTACAACTTAGAATCCTTTATCAGCTAAAATTCAGGTCATATGGCCAGCTAACCAAATGGCTGAGTGCTAGTCATGAACTGCGGCTTGATGCGAACTCAGTTTGCCTGAGTCTGCCCAAGCCCGCTCAAAACTATGACCAACACACGCCCCTCGTAACCCAATCACTTGCGGCAGGGGATTTCATGCCTCTTTGTGACATGTAGTTGTGGGGTGGGAAATGCACCTGCCACAACTTAATTGGCTAGGAGGGGGGTGTGTCGGTCATAATTTTAGGTGGGCTTGAGTGAACTCAGGCGAACTGGGTTTGTATCAAGCTCCAGTTCATCACTATGGACTGAGAATGCACAGCCATATAGGGATAGGTGGCATGGCAAATAAATAAGAGTATATGTGTGTAGTATATGTGCACAGTCATATGGCCGTTGCTTTATATTATTTTGTAATTTTGCCGTGACTAAAGAACATTAATAATGACTTTAGTAACTAGCATGTATGATTAAGCTTTTACCAGTCTAAACTGTTTGTCATTTATGTTCCATGACTTTTTCTTGTAAATGCAGTTGAACATTCTTCTCATCCTGATCAGACTTTGTCTGTCATCCCAGTCCTTGGCATTGTCTGTGGTCAGTGTAACTCTACAGACTGTCTTCTCCGTATGTCCCTCTCTTCCCAGTCTTCTTCAAGTTCAAACTCTCCTCGCAGGATTGCCAGCTTCTCTGAAATGGTATTGGTGTTTGGGATGAGGACATAGTGATAGATTAGAGATCCTATGACCGCACCAAGCATCGGTCCTAACCAGAACACCTGAAATGAAAATGTCATAATAAGGAGCAACGCCAGTAAAATGTTGAATGAACTGCTAATATTCCCTAAGCTAGAACAAACTTCAATACAGTAAAAACAATGAAGCGCCACTAACTATGAGTCCTCACTGGGAAATCTTCTCAGGCATACTGCAGGATGCTGCCCCAAAGAAGCCGGGAAAGCTGGGAATCTGAAAAGTAAACACAAAGGGGGCGCCTTTCCTAGTGCAAATCAATTTATTTCAATAAGCACGAAGTGAAAAAGAGATAAAATGCGTCAACGTCTTCACACACAGGAATTGTCTAGTGGATGTCTTACTGCATGTCAGCTCCCATCCCATGCCTGTGTAACACTCATGTTTGTGAGTACCATTTTATCTCTTTTTCACTTCGTGCTTATTGAAATAAATTGCTCTGCACTAGGAAAGGCGCCCCCTTTGTGTTTACTTTTTAGAACAAACTTCAACTTGATTTGCTTTATGACTTTCTACATTCAGACCCTGCTGAATGCTTATGGGTGGATCTACAGTCTCAAACCAGTCATGTAGCTTTCCTAAAGCACATCACATGTGTTACAATCTGATTGTACATTCTCCTTTAGATCTACCAACAACTCTGATTGGATACAAATTGGTTGGAAAGATTAGGCAGGTCTTTATAATTGAGTATAGAATGTATTAAAGTTGTCTGTATAGAGATAAAGTTGTCTGTACAAAGTTGTCTGTTACAGAGATTGTAACATGTGTGCTGACCCTTAGGCTGGGCACACACCTTACAACCATCGCAAGACTTTTGTCTTGCGATGGTTGTAAGGTATTTTTAAAAAAAACGTACGATCTGCCTATCTTGCATAGGCAGATTGTACTTGCAATGATCGCAAGCCACGCCCCCTGAGGGGCGGGCTTCCGATGACCGCAATGCCGAACGGGCAGTGTGCGCTTGCGTCGTACGATGCTCGGCGGGTTTTCGAACATGTCCGTAAGTTCAAAGTCCCGCGGATTTCCCGCGATTATCGTACGATTATCGTAAGGTGTGTGGGGACCTTTATTAGGCAACCATAAGACTGAAGTGGGGAAAGAAAGTGTCTGTAGGAATGCAATCACTCATTGTTGTACATCCCAGGTGCCACAAGAGGGGTAAAGGGTAAAACATCTGAGGCTATTCAACTGCAGAATATTATAATACAAGGGCACACTGCCCACCATGTAATTAAGTTTTCATTTGGGAGTGGTAATATTGAGTTAAAATTACATTTTAAAAAAAGTTGAAACAAATGACACTGCTCACTGCTGGCAATAGCCAGTCATGCAGATTCTATAATAAAGCAATGCAAACGTGCAGCGAGGGAAGATAACGGAATTAATTAATGTATTTTTGGATGACCACTGGCTCGCATAATTAGAATGTGGTGGTCCCAAGGCTGGCAAAGCTTAGTTACAATGTCTGCAGAGACTTAGAAATAGACAGTGTTTGGAGTCCCGGGACTGTAAAATCATAGCTTCAGTTATAGTTGCTAGAACTCCCTTTAATTACTTGATGACACCAAGGGATCTATTTATAAACAATTTGCAGAAACAGCATCCTTCACAAATCTCTGTGAATGTCATTCTGTATGGATGGATACACTATACAAATGCTCTTGTTATATTTTCTTTATAAGTCTTTATAAGTAAATATAAATGTATTTTCAAATGTCATCTTGTAATACCAAATTATGGCCCCTAGAAGGAGCTAAGGAGCATACAAAATATGTAAAGGTTATTTATGGTAATTTGGCTTTTCTTAAGCTCTCTCTGGATGTGACCTTGCAATAGAGCAGAACACCCAATAATGGTGTATTATGAATAGATGTGTCTCCTTAGCCAATAACAAGGAGGTTCATAGCCAGTGAAGGGGGAAGCTGTTCCTGGGATGGAAAACCTGGGAGGAATTTTGTCTGTTGGAGGCACCGGAGAAGCAGGAATTGGACTTCTGTGCTAAGTCTGCTCAATAGTCAAGGTTCTACAATACACAGTGCTACTGTAATCAGTTTAGGGCCCATCTGCACTGTGAAGCTGGAGTCCGTAATGTCCTAGGTGTCTGTAGCCCTTTACCCTCAGTCCCATGTGAGCTCTCAGAGCCAAGGCATTGGCCTATGCACATACAGCAATTAATCGAAATTAATCGATTAAAAAGAATTTCGATTAATCGAACACGAAAAATTTAATCAGTAACAGCCCTAGTTAATTGTGCCTTACCAGTATACTGATAAAATGTAACTTTTGCTTAGAATTCCTTCTGAAAATTAGTGTACTTCCTGGTTGTCAGGGTGTCTAGCTATTCTGTATATCTGCTGTGTGACATTATGACACTGTGCTTTTGACAGCTTATCTCATGGGATATGAGGTGAGGTTTGGTGATGTCACTAATGTGCTGCTCACTCCTAATCATGCTAGATGCTCTGACATGAGGAAGCCAAGCCCTGCCTCAACCAAGATGGCCAAGTTACAAAGTGCAGAACATGGCATGGTAAGTCAATAACAGTGAAAATATCAGCTGCAGGGAGAAGCTTGTAACTAGTTCTTTGCCCCTTATCTAACTAGTTTTAGGCACAGCTTCTAGAGTCTAGTTCCTCTTTTAAAACCACTATAATTTGTATTATTTGTTGTTTGTGTCCTGATGCAGAGATTTCCCTTACTTCCTGTCCTGGAGATGCAACAGGAAGTGACAGGAAATCTCTACGAAGTGGTGAGAATCCCCTTCTTGGGCAGCTGTTTCTAGAACAAGTGTCCCTATTAGAAGATTTACTTTCACATCTTCTTCTGGCAACAAAATGTAACATTTTGTATATTTTATCACTTTCTATCCTGGTGACAGTGACAACCAGAACAATTACTCCCCCCATTGAGGACACAGACAGGAATAACAACCGTGCAGGGGTTCTACTCCTTCCTTCCAAACTAAAAACATTAGGTTTTAGGTATGCATATAGACCTTACGCTAGAAGGGTAAAACACATGGGCAAATGTGATCAGTAAATTAACTGTATAAATGCAGCAAATCTATTTGATGGGCAGCAAAAAAGCTGAGAATGATCATAAAACGGACCTCTCACAGTTGTATTAATATGCAGTAAATACCAGCATTTGTAATGTGAGGCTGCTGTATGCAGCACACTCCATTAACCTCTACATCATGTTTTTGTATCTTCTGTTCCTTCGTTGTATTACAGTAGGCTATTGCAAATGTCACCTGCTGTATAATAGAGGTACCATGGGATACACACATAGCTGACCTGGAAAATGTCATTGCTGTGCATTTCCTTGTTTTTTTTCTACAAACATTATACAAACACTTTATATGGAAAAATGAGTCCTAACTATCCTGATTTTTCATGTGGATATAGAAACAATTAATTAGTCAACATTATATAAATGTTATAGAAATTTAGTTTTAACACTGTACGGAAATGATAGGTGTAATTGCATAATTAGACAGCAAATTCACCACACAGCACTTTTGGATGAACATGACTACTTATGAAATTCTACAAAGATATGTTAAGGAGATAAATGTTAATAGGTTATTGTCATATATACAGTATGTATCTATATGTGTTCCAGGGAGGTTTTGTGCCATTAATTGAAATCAGTGGAAATAGGTCAGTTTGATTATATTTTCTCGATATGTTAATCATGAATTTTAATAACTAAAGAACATTATATTTGTTCATAATATGTGATTTTTGTGTTATTATGTTGAACTGGGTCTCTCTGCATTTGGTAGATGACACCTTAAAAGCCCCATCTTTTTCTTAATTGTTGCATTCTGTATATTTAGGGGTGTGGTGTCCCTGTTCATGTGGTGATTCGCTATTTTGTATATAATGGAATTAGACTCAAGGCACTGGTACACAGTGAAGGAATTATTCTCACCCAATGAGCAGAAAAGTTTCCTGTTATAACTGCGGGTGCAAAAGATCTTGCTGGATTCATGGAACAGCCGGTGTAATTAATCTAAGACAAAAGACAATAGCTTATTACAAGTTAAGACATTATTATCTATTTTCATATTTTATGAGAAAGTATTGAACCCATACTCAAGACACTAGGGGCTAGAAAGCTGCTCATGTTCATTTCTTGTAGGCATTGATCTGACCCATATCTACTGGGACCAGGAAGCCTGTCCAGAACCTACTATTGGGCTTACAAATTAGCTTGGCCATTACAGCCAAGCTCCTGGAAAAATAATAATTTACATACTACTCTGGGTGTTAAAATCATCATTAAAAAGCTGGGTGTTATGTGTGGAGGGCGGCTGCAAAGCATCAACTCTTAACTTGCAGCATGCTGGCTCCTAAACATAAGCCTCTGGGGGAGTGGCTACTTGATTATTGACAAAATGCCTTGTATTTTTTTTCAAAGAATATAAGGTGTTATGTGATTGGAGGAAAGGGGGAAAGTGTCACATTTCTGCCCCTACTCAAATGGGCAAGTAGTGAGGAGGGTCAAGGATAAACATGTGCGATTCGTTTTCATTCGGACAAAATTTCGGAAATTCGGATGTATCCGAATTCCGAATTACAGATATAGCGAATGCAAACGAATCCAAATTTCAAATTTCGTTTGTTGGACGAAATTTCGTTGCAGCAAAGTGACATTTGGAAAAAAAAACACCTTTTTTCCCCTTCTAATCGTCACTTTACTGCAACGAATGAACGAAATGGAAACGAACATGAGACAAACTTTCGTACAGACTACCGCTAACGAATTTAGTCCGAATCCGAATTCTGAAACGAATTGACTTTCGGACCCGAATCCCGAAAAACAAAATAACACAAAATCTGAATCGAAACGAAGCAAATTTTTTGCTGGTGCACATGTCGAGGATGTAACTGGAGCACTTCACTGCTTGGGTCACATCCCTCACTCCCTGCACCACCTGGAAGTGCGGCATTAGGTGTAGGAGGTAGCATACCGCAAGGTAAGATTGTCATACTATATATAGCAGCCCTTCACACTTAACATGCCCCTTTTTCATGATAATTTACACACCCAGTAGGCTGTGTAAATTATAATTTTCTCTGAGCGTTTGGCCTTAAAATTCCTACATGCAATTAAAACCTGTCATTACCTCTGCCATGTTATAGGAGAGCTAGTAAGTTACTGTGAAAATGCACCAGAGTCACTTGTAACTTTTTAGTGGACTGGGGAAAAACCTGAACAAGGCCCCCAAGGGTCATTATTCGCCAGGTGGGAAAGGGTGTGGCCAGTGCTTAAACTCCTGCTATATAACCCCACCACTACCATACCACCAATACTGTCAGTGACATTTCCCTGAATGCTCTCTGGCTTATTCACAATTTGAAACAACCCAGCAGGCAGTGGCGGAACTATCTCCATAGCGACCCAGGTGGCCTGGGGCACAGGGGGGCCCGGCCAGGATGAGGAACAAAGGGGTCCCCCTGATGCCGTGCAGGCCGCCGGGGTTGCAAGGTGGGCTGTGCAGGGTCTCAGGTGGGCTGTGCGGGGTCTCAGGTGGGCTGCGCGTGGTCTCAGGTGGGCTGCGCGTGGTCTCAGGTGGGCTGCGCGTGGTCTCAGGTGGGCTCTGCAGGGTATCAGGTTGGCTACAGAGGGCCTCGGGTGGCAGTGCGGGGTCTATGTTGGGCTCTGTAGCAGTGAGTGGGAATGTGTTCTGGAGGTAGGTCCTTTTTTTGGGGGGCCATACAAAATTTTGCTAAGGGGCCCTGTGATTTCTAGTTACACCCCTGGGCAGGGGGATCGCTGGCTGCTAGGATGCTGGCAGGTGTCTGCATCATAAAAACCAATACTACTGTGCAATCCGTAAAGCACCATTGGTTGCTAAGACACAGGCGACTGCCTGCATCCTAGCAACCAATAATGGAGGTTGCTCCTTGCATGACCCTAAGCAGGAAACTGTCATTTAGTGGTGATAGTAATACAATTATTAAATTAATGACTTCTGGCAGCAGCAAACAGAGGTTTGGCAGTCAGGGGAACTGGCCATTAGCTTCACCTGTGCGGCGAACTACAACCAGCTTGGGTTCAGGTCAGACTCATGGGTCTGAACTGAACCCAAACCCAAACCTGAACCTTATCCCTAATAATCAACAGCAGAAGGATGGTTTAGATGTTGTGAGTTACAAAACAGGGAACCCCAAAACAGAAGGATGTAATTTGAAGTGATATTAAAGTCAAAACATGTTTAAGCTCTTTCAAATTTGGTCCGCAAACACACAGGCACATCAGGGAAAACTACTCCTCTGCCCCCTGCTCCTCCCTTCTCCAAGGTAGTAGATGGACAGCTGCTGGAGACTACTCTGTCCCTTGTTATCTTACACTGGACAGGAAGTTCAGGGAAGCTGAGCTAAAAGAGTTGGAGCTGTTCAGAAACATGAGGACTGTGTTTGGGCAAAAATGTAAAGAAATACTGTACTTTACTGGGCCCTGTATATTTGTCTGATCTGGATTCACAATTGGGGAAAAAAGCTGGAGAGTTTATTTCAAAAGTTTACTTTGAAAATCTCCCCAGCACAATATCTACAGGAGGAAGTGATAAGTTTCCTTTGCTGTCTAGTTTTTTTTTTATTGATGTTGTCTTATTGTCTTTTAAAATACATTGGGCCTCATGCTTAAAGCCCAACTCCAGACAGAACTTTTTTTTTTTAAAGAGCAGTGAAAGGTTAGAGCCTTTGTCATGTTTCTATTGCAGTGTGTATGCACATCAGGGATGTGCGGTCAGGGGAGGCAGGTGAGGCAGAGCCTCACCTAGTATTATGAAGGAAAAAGGTGTCAGCTTCAAGTCTGAAGCTGACAGCCTTTTCTCCATTCAGATTGGCTTGTTACAGGTTATACAGCAGGGAAAGTCTCCCCGCTATGTCACCTGCCATGGAGAGAGCCCTGCCTGTTAATTACAGGCAGTGCTGCATCCAACTTTTGACAAGTAGTTAGGTTACACAGCAGCGGGCTACCCCACTGCTTGTGTAACCTAACTTGGTAGGCAAGAGCTGTCACAGCCTCTACTGTGTTAGAGGCGTAAGCTCTGTTGATGGCTTGGACCGGTGGCAAAGCATCATTTGTCCAAGCTGTCCAATTAAAAAAAAAAACAGTGAGGACATCGATCTCGATGCCTCCCCAGTGACGAGCAAGTAAGCTCCTCCCTGACGAGCTCCTCCCTGTCTCCTCCCTTCCTCCTCCCACACAGCTTGGTTACTGAGCTGGGAGCGGGGCTTTGGCAACGCGGGGCGAGGTTTCGGCGGGCTGGGGATGCCTCACCCAGCACAGAAGGCACGGCACGTCACTGATGCCTATAGTTGAGATTTCCTCATGGAAAATCTCTCCAACAGGGTCAGACACAAATACTTTTTGGAACTGTGTGCTAAAACATCTGACAAGTTTTCTTCATTACCATCTGAGCATTCCTTTCCTAGTGACAACTACTTCTCTCATCTTCTGTCCTGGTGTCACAAGGACAGGGAGTGACCCAATTTGTCCAATAGGACCCAGTCAGAAATACAAATCTTGCACATTTTGTAACTCTCCCCTGCTCTTTCCAAGCCCCCCTCCCCCCCCCCAAAAAAGGACATTTGGCTGAAGTTGGGCTTTATTAGTTAGTTAGTTAGTTAGTTAGTTAGTTAGTTAGTTAGTTAGACATGTGCACTGCCAAAAAAAATGTTTAGTTTCGTTTAGTTTTAAATTCGGATTTGTGTTATTGTGTTATTTCGTTTTTCGGGATTCGGGTGTGAAAGTCAATTCGGATTCGGAAATCGGACGAAATTCGTTAGCGGTAGTTCGTTCGAACGTTCGTTTTGTTTTCATTTCTTATTCGTTTTGTTCATTCGTTCGTTTGCAGCAAAGTGACATTTGAGGGGGGAAAATGTTTTTCTCCTTCTCTAATGTCACTTTGCTCCAACGAACGAAATGAATAAGAAACGAAAACGAGACGAACGTTCGAACGACCTACTGCTAGAGAATTTCCGAAAATTCATCCGAATTTCAATTCGGAACAAAACGAATCGCACATGTCTAGTTAGTATATGAATATAGAGCAGCGGTTATTGCTGCCCATAACAACCACTTTTCTCTTTTATAGTGTAGAGAATAAAAAGGAAGAAGTCGATTGCCTGTGATGGTCAATAAGAAGAGTTCTTCAGACACTTTTATGTATTGTTTTCATTGCTCTTTATCAGTGCTCCGGTCCTGCTACCAAAAGATTCTCCTTGAATCGTAAATGCAACATAATTGTATCTGCTAAGGTTATTGCTTAGTGTGATAATTATTGTTGGTGTAGCGCTATATTATGGTTTATGATAATGTAATACGCTGAAGTGTCTTCTTGTCTATGTGTATAGCTAATACAGAAGCATTAATATACCACTGCCTTAAAGTCAATGGTCCTTCTTATTGAGAGACACATTTCCTAAATATATGACATCAAAGCTTCCCGGCAGCTGAGTAAAAGAGTTGGTAATTATTTATCTTGTTATAACATTTCTTGTAGAACAACACATTAAGATTCCTGCTTCTATCAATAAACCAGCCTTGCTCGACCTTTTTTCAGTCATGGCACCCTTTAAAATGATGCATCCCAGTCTAATAGATTTTAAAGAGGCAACCCCATGCAAAAACACAAAAAAGTAGGGGTTCTCCTTTATATCAAAGTCCCCGCTGAAACCAGGAATCTCCTTTCAGAGTCCCTTTTTACATCAGAGTGCCCCCCTTCACATCAGAATCCTATCACCACAGTAGGAGCCACAGCTGCAGCAGCATGGTGGAAGGACGGACAATTTCGAGGCACCCCTGAGGAAGCCAGAAAACACCCCAGGGTGCCACAGTATTCTGTTTGAGAAAGGTTGCGATAGGCATCACATACCTGCAATAATAATAATAATAGGAAATAACAGAGAATTCTTAAAGAGTAGGAGACTTGGTGGTGCATGGGAGCATGAGATCAAGGAAGAGGGGGCACTGTTGGAGATTATCAGGTAATCCCGGGGAGTAGGTAAGGCAATAATAACGCACATACTGAAAATGCTCATTATCATTGAAATTTTACAGTGTGTTGGAAAACGTCAATAAATAATGAATGATCAGTCCCTTTGCCCAGTGGCATCATAAGGTGGTGTGGGGAATACGGCCCGCACTTGGTGACACCATCAGAGGGGGTGCCACCAAAATGACTGACAGTCATTTTGGTGTCACCCCCTCTAAAAAGTCAGGCACTAGGTCATTGACAGCTGCACGAAAGAGGAGGGGACCCGGTGGCATACCTAATCCCGCCAGATGTAGTCCCCTCCTCTCTTTGCCGTCGTCCATCACCAAAATGGCCTGCCAGCAGTTAAGTGCACGTGACGTCATTACGCTCATGCGCGATCATACGCTTGTGCAATGATGTCACACGCGTGCGTGATGACATCCCTGCACTTGGTGACAGCCGGCCTGGGGATGCCTCTGTCCTTTGCCTCATAGGAAAGGTAAAATTCCATCCCTTTTAGGCCTCTTTCACACTGCTAAGAGCCGGCTCCTACTGATCTGGGAAGGACAGGTGCTGCATGTGATTTGTGCGCAGCAGCCTGTTCTTCTCTATGGGAGTACGCTCCCCTGAGCTGCACATCCGTGCGGGTGTCCGTGCTCGGACGCACACAGGATCCATCCTGTCTGCGTACAAGTATGGACACAGATGTGCAGTAGGGGGAGTGTACGCCCATAGAGAAGAACAGGCTGCTGCGCACAAATCACATGCAGCGCCTGTCCTTCCCGGGAGCGGCCCGATATGGCCGTGCACATCGCACGGATCTGTACGGACTGGCTCTTAGCAGTGTGAATGAGGCCTACAGAATAAGTATTAAAGCAGAACCTTGAGCAAAATAAAACATGACATATATGATGCAATTTGTCCTTGGCACTAACACAGAAGTCTGTTTTTCTGAGCCCATCTGTAACATCCCTTTATTACCTGTCGATCCATTATTTTTCCATTTGCTATAAAAGGGTGACAACCGCAGTGAAATTGCACGGCAGCATGGTCACTGTGTAGACAAGGTAGTCTTATATGAAAATCGAATGCACTCTAAGTAAGCAGCAAACAAGTTAAAACTTATCTTTAGTTAAGACCCTATCCACACTTGTGAATGGGGCCGATTGCATGAGTCTAATGAATTCTTCCAAATTCTTCCATGAGACCCTCATGGAATGCAATTGTTTCAGTTATATTTTTGCCAGCTATCTTTGAGGACTGCACAACCCTCCCTTCTAACTGCACAACACTACCTCTCCATAGATACAGTACAGTGAGTGAGCATTGTCACATTTGGATGGCAAGTGTATTACTAGCAGGATCACCAGGTGAAAATAAAAAAAAGCCTGAAAAAGAAAACTAATGCAGCCACCACATCTAAGGACTGGTAAGCAGTGATGTATCATCTTTTGTTAGGGTTTAGACAGAGGCGGCCCAAGGCAGGATGACACCCTTTGAGGGTACCAGGTTACACCCCGCCTTGATGTCATCGTGCACACGCGTGATGACGTGACAGCCATCTTGGTGATGGACATCGGCAAAGAGAGGAGGGGACGTTACCCGGCCGGATAATGTATGCCGCCGGGTCCCCTCATCTCTCTCGAGCTAATGTTGGGCTCTCGGTCCATGACCGAGTGCCCTACTTTTCAGAGGGGGGTGACACCAAAATGGCTGTCAGTCATTTTGGTGACACCCCTCCGATGGTACAAACAGCAAAAAGTTTTCCCATCATACTCGCCAGCCAGCATGCAAAAAAATGTGTCTTACCGCTAAGGTTAAAAACAGAGATTTAGATACACGTCTTCTAAACCTCTGTTTTTAACCTTAGCGGTGAGACTAGTTTTTTTGCATGCTGGCTGGCGAGTGTGCTGGGAAAACCTTTTGCTGTTTGTACTGTATTAGGCTTTTCCATGTGCACCGTGCTGTAAAGCCGATAACATATTGATGAGTGCGTTTGCCATTTGTTTTACCCCTCCAATGGTGTCATCCGGGTGTGGGCCGCACCCCCCTTGTGACGCCACTGGGTTTAGATACTGTATGTTTTAACTGACAAATGGGAAAACTCAAGAGACAGAAAGTGGAGCCACGTTTTATCTTCAAAGTAAAAATTTAAATTCACACATGACTAGAATAACTTCTCTGTGTCTAGATCTGCTGATCATTATTCTATAAAGTTTTCACTGATAGCAACATATGATTATGTTTGGTTCATCCTATGCTGGAATTGCATATGTTTGTTACAGCTTATTATAATCAGGTTCTTGTTTTCCCATCAGCAGTAAACTGGGAATCTTTATCAGACCAAATATTACTATATATATATATTCATTCTCTCCTGCTGTTCACCATTTCAAGGCTGCCGGAGATCAGCTCTGAGACCATAGCAGAGGAGCTCCCTCTACTGCCTGTATAAGCATCCTTGCAATTTTGTATTAGAAAGTAGAAAGCCACTTTACAGGATATTTAAACCAAAGAACAAAAATATAATATATCACAGCTTACCAGTCCTTAGATGTGGTGGCTGCATTAGTTTTATTTATTTTTTCAGGCTAACGTCATATTCTTCAAGAACAGAGAAATATCCATTGATCTTACCAGAAATTCAATGTCCTTCTTGTGTACTGAACTGAAATATCAAAAAATGGTATCGGCTTTCATCTACAAAGGCCCTTCCCCTTATGTAATGGAGATGAGGAAAGAAGTAGGTGTTTGTAGTCCTAACCAGGAGTTTAGCATAGGGTGCTAATGCTGCCCCTACACAGATACAGTGTAGTGAGTGAGCGTTGCCTCCCTAGGATAGGAAGGATGTTCTTTGCAGGATTAAAAGGTAAAAATAAAGGAGAAAAAATCCTTAAAAATAATGCTAATGCAGCCACCACATCTAAGGACTGATAAGCTGCAATATATACATTTTTTTGGTTTTGAGTTTATGCTAAAAGGAGAATTATGGGGTGAGTGAAATGCGCTCATCTCCATAATTAGACCTGACTTGAGACACTGAAGCTGTCACACATCGGCTCTATTGATTGAGAACTGAGCGCTCATATATCGCTGATCGCTGAGTTCTTGATCTTCTCCCTGCAGAGAGCGGTGAATGTCAGTCATCACTCCCCACAGGGATTTCCCCCTCTCCGTTCCTAGAGCGCTCATTGGTGGGACAGACAGGGGAGGGGTGGGCACAGCTGGCTCTGTCTCTAGAGAGGCAGAACCAGCTGTCAATCAGGTGGTGGGGTGTATACTGACAATATTTTTGGGATCTTTCCTGGCTGCAGAGCAGCTCTGCTCTGTCAGCATATAGCAGGCAATAGCCTGCTATATGCTGAGTTTTGGGTCACCTGAGGACATAGTAAATGTCCTCCTGTGACCCTAAAGAGAACTATGGCCAAAAAATGTGGGGCCATAGTTCTCTTTTAAAGAAGAATTCCAGGCAAATAAAAAATGTACGCTTGCAGTGGGTCTATCCTACACTGCAAGGGTTAAGTCTGTGAAGGTTTCCCGTTCATCCAGGTCATGGTATATCTGTAAAAAATAAGTCAATGCAAGTGGACTTGCTGTATTTTTCTTGAAGACGTTTCACTGGTTTCTGAATTGAGAAAGCTGGTTGGATGATCAGTGAAACGTCTTCAAGAAAAATACAGCAAGTCCAGTTGCCTTGACTTATTTTTTGCAAGGGTTAAGTGCTTCTTTAGGTCTAGGGGCTGGAATAAAGCAGATTTACTTACCTGATCCCAGCTTTCTCCATGCTGCTAGACCAGTCCCTGCAAGCTCTACTCTCCTTGGCCTAAGGACCGCTGGCGCTATCACTTCTAATGCAGGTCCATTGACCCACATTAGACATGAAGATGCTGGGGAAATTTCCATTGCTGGATTGGAGCGGGGGAGAGGTGAGTGCTGACCACTGCGGGAGATTGGATCAGGTGAGTATATCGGCTTTATTAGAGCCCCCTGGACAAAACCAGCACTTAACCCTTGCGGTGCAGGGGTAGCCCGGAGTTATTATTTGCTCTGGGTTCTTCTTTAAAAATATGATAATTACATATTATTAATATTAAAGAAATACATATTATTCCATAGCCTCCACAACAAGTAAAGTGCAGATCTAATACTTACTCCAAGAAGGTGTCCAAACGCCACAGAAAAGCCGATAGACAGAGCTGGAGATCCCACATTATCTGTCCTTCGATCATCGGTGGAGGCGAATACACACAGAACCAACTGAAGAGTTAGTACCAGCTCAATGACAACAGCCTTCCCCGCATCAGTGTTGTTAAATAACTAAAAAATAAAAAGGAGGACAAAACAACAACAAAAAAACAAATACCATGATAATGCATAATTTATTGAATGGAGTAATAATACTCTAATATGCAATCAAAAACAATCCACAGTTAAAGCGATTAAAACGGTTGAGTTCTGAACAGGATTAATCAGGAATAAAATGTAATGCTAAAGTGGAGTTACTGTTTCCTTTTAGTCTGTTTGATGAGATTTCAGTTGTTTATATCTGTGTTACCCTTCTGAGAATACTCACAGTTCACAATGAAGATAAATGCGTCTTATTCTTATTTTAATGAAACATAGTTGAGATAGCTCTCCTTTATGAACTTGGCAAGATGCACAGAGCAGAGCCCCCGCTACCCCCAGACACGTGTCCTGTGCTCCTGAAATTGAAATAAATGTCCAGAAGGTTTTTTAATGTTTTAGAAAACGTGATGATCTTTTTTTCTTCTGCCGTCAACATTACAGTCGGTTCCCCCTGGCTTTCAACCTGTTTCTTTGTGTACATTTGAAGAATTCCGTAGTTAAAGCTCATGTCTGGGCTTAAAAAACGTTCATCCAAATATATTTCTCAAAAGCCACAAGGTACCAGCATGTCTTTACAAACATAGATATTACTTTGTAAAAGTAGCAGTGACATAATCACTGTGCTGTACATAGCCTGTGCAGAGAGCAGAGGTGTGGGAGCAGGCTCCACCCACTACAGGCTCCCTGCAGAAATCCCTGCAGAAAACTACAGGAGGGAGCGGATACAAGACTGGTCACCCTGCAGAAGAGGAGCAGTAGGGACTGGTCTTTATTACAGAAAGCTCCTGCACAGTAGCAAAGTATCAAACTGGATTACTGCACAGATCTGGAAGAAATACACAAAGCATACCAAGATTCCAGTAAGAATACATATCCAGTACCTCTTTATATTTTGTTATCCCAGCATTAACAAAGTGAGTGGTGATAATTCTGTAAAAGCTTCTTCAGGGATGCACCAATACCATTTTTTTGGTAACGAGTTTGAGTACCGATATTTATGTTTCGGTACTCGCCGATACCGAGTACTGATACCAGTACTTCTGCTAGCATGGAGCCAGCTTCCCAGGCAATCAAGAAGCCAGGCGGCTAGTAATGACACGCTGCCCGGCTTTTTGATTGCCTGGTAAACCAGCTCCATGCTGTTTGGCTGGCTCCATGCTAAATGGCTGAGAAGCCAGCTAGTCAGCAATGAGCCAGCCAAACAACAAATGGGTCATTACTCGCTGCTCGCCTTCCTGATTAACCGGGAAGCCGGCTCCATGCTGTTTGGCCGGCTTGATGCTAATTGCGTCACGGGAGCCAGGAAACCAGACCACACAGAAACGCAGGTAAAATAAAGTTGTTTATTTAAAGGAACATAAATAAACATTCATCAGGGAGCAGCGAGGTCGGGAACAAGCCGGTCAAGTCCAATGCGGGTACATCTGCCAAACCGGGATCACATCCAAAGCGGGTAGTCGTACAAGCCAGGGTCTAGTCCAAAGCAGGTAGTTGTCCAAGCCGGAATCGAGTCCAATGCGGGTACGTCTGCCGATGCGGGGGAACGAGAGCCAGAGGAAACGTCAGCCGGACCGGATCATACACAGGAACACACAAAGGAACTCAGATCGCCAGAGATGCACCTTGGAGCACAAACGCAAGGGCAATGAACCTGAATCCTGAGCAGACTGATATAGTCAGGTGTTGCCACATCATCACTGTGCGACGCCCAGGCAGCAGGCAAGCAATGATGTAACCAGAGGATATAAAAGAGACTGCAGTCTGCACATGTCCAAAATGGCTGCCACCATGAGGACAAGGTAAGACCTTGACAAATTGTCCAGAAAGCCTGCTTTCCGGCCAATCAACATTGAATCGGCCAAATAGCATGGAGCTGGCTTACCAGCCAATCAGGAAGCCAGGAGGCGAGTCATTACCTGCCGTATAGCTTCCTGATTAGCTGGAAAGCCAGGTCCATGATCCCTCGAGGCACTGCCGGTCAGAGAAAATCTCACGCTGACCGGAAGTTCCGGTATCGCAGTATCGGAGCATTTGGGAGAGTACGAATACTCGCCCAAATACTCAGTATCTGCACCAATACGGATACTAGTGTCGGTATCGGTGCATCCCTAAGCTTCTTACATGCAACTTTATCGATCACAAATCCAAGCAGTTCAAACTGAGCACATAATGACAAGAATGCAGAGGTTATCTTCAGTGAAAACCACATGCCAATGATCGGTCATGTGATCAGCCATATATAGTAGGGTTGCCACCTTTTCTTCAAGTGAAACCCGAACACTCTAGCGCCGCACGCGGCAATTTTTTTTTTTTAATATAGAGGAGAGGCAGCCAGGGGAGGGAGTGATGAGACCAGCTAGAGAGGACTACAAATCCCAGCAATACATTATACAGCAATACAAAATAATATGAAGCTACATACTCTGTGTTGTTCTGTGTTGACGCACTGATGTCTCCACGTGGCCTGGTGGGTTGTGCGGGCTCTCGTGGTGGGCTAAATGGGCTATGGTGTCTCACCAGGGGTCCACAGGTGGGCAGCACGATGTCAGGGAGCTGGAGGAGGAGAAGGCAATGACAGATGCGTCTGTGGGGAGCCGAATCTGCCTAAAACCCGGCCCTTCCTCTGAGCTGCGGGCACCTGTAAACAGACACAGGCTGCCGGCAGCTCAGA